TTTCTGCTGGCAGGAAGCATTTGACCAGTGCTTGGCTGAGGTTTACAGAAGGAATGAGAGGTTTGAGCTTACTGATGAAACCATGTCTTCAAGGTGGGAAAAACTGAGACAGCGTATCATCCAGGCACCTCTTGCTCTTAGACCTTGAGATGAATTAGGAAAACCAAATGGGGATGCCTTTCAGAGTAGGTAGAGAGGGGTCAGGGTGTAGATCAATCAGTACAGAACTCACCTAGCATGCATGAAGTCCTGGGTTCGATCCCCAAATACCATACAAACCAGGTGCAGCACATACCTATAATCCCAGCATTTGGGAGACTGAGGCAGGAGGATTAGGAAGTTCAAGGTCATCCTTGGCCAGCCCAGGTGACATGAGACCCTATCTCAAAAATATATTGTTTGAGCCAGGCATGGTGGCGCACCCCTTTAATCCCAGCACTTGAGAAGCAGAGGCAGGCAGATCTCTGTGAGTTCAAGGCGAGCCTGGTCTACATAGTGAGTTCCAGGACAGCTGGGGCTACAGGAGACCCTGTCTCAAAAAGACAAAAAAAATTGTTTGAAGCCAGCCTGGGTGACATGAGACCCTTTCTCAAAAATAAATAAGTAGGGACTGGAAAGATAGGTTGGTGGTTGAGTGCTTGCTGCACTTCTAGAAGACCTGCATTTGGTTCCTAGTACCTATATTAGATGACTCGCAACTGCTTGTTTGCTTTTGAGACAGGATCTCACTTGTAGCCCTGGCTGGCCTGAAACTTGCTATATAGACCAGGCTGACCTTGAACTCACAAAGATCCACCTTCCTTTGCCTCCCAAGTGCAGGGATTAAAGCCGTGTGCTACCATGCCAGCTTCATAACTGCTTGTAACTCTAGTTCCAGGGGATCTGAAGCCCTCTTCTGGCCTCTGTGGGTATTGGCACACACATGAGGATGCACACATACACACATACACATAAATAAAAATAAATATTAAAAAACAAAGTCTTATTCATTTGTGCTTCTTCTCTGTTATGTACACTGAGCCAAAATAACCACCCCTACCCTGTGTTCCCAGGGTCAACCATCCACAAATGAGTTTTCTTCCCTAGGTGGCTACATGGTGTCTGGGAAGCTGAGGGGGCAGAAGCCATCTCTGAAGTTTAAACACACAAGGTTGTGTTTCCTCAGATAGTGCCTTGGTAGCTCTCTTCCTTTCTCCTTTGCAACCCTGAGGTTTAATGGTGGGAGGAAATGGAACATCATGTCTTTCTGGTGGGAATGTTGAATCGTGCAGCTAAGAACAGTTTAGCAGATCTGCCCCATGCTAATCATGCAGTTACCACACGACCCAGCAATCCTGCTCCTAGGCATGCACCCAAGAGAGCTGAAAGCATATGTCCACATAAAAATGTGTAAAAGCACCCACACAAAAACATGTGAAAGCATGCTCAGAGCAGCATATTCAAAATATCCAACGAGTGCAAGCCACCCACATACCGGTTAGCTGATGAGTAGATAAACAGTGTGGTAAGTACACTGGCGTATTAGCACCGAGCAGGAAAGAAGTCCTGACATGCCAGTGTGTAGCAGTCTAGAGAACACTTTGCTAAATAAGTCAGATGCAAAAAGCCATGAACTTTCTGATTCCATTTACGCGAAATGTCCAGAATAGGTAAATCCAGGAACAGACAGGAGATTAGTACATGCTAGGGCAGGGGAAGGGAGGATCAGAGAGTGACTAAGGGTCTGGGGTTTCTTTTTAAGTGATAGAATCACATAAAGGGTGATGCTTACACAGTACTGTAAACACACTAAAGTCACTGAAGTGTATACTCTAAAAACTGAAGCGTATACTCTAAAAATGGTTAAAAGAGTTTTGTGTTACGTGAATTTTATCTCAATAAAAATGCAAAGAACAGAACTGAAAGAATTCGATGTTAGGATCCTGCCGCTGCTCAGGCCACAGTTCCCCAAGTGTCTTTAATCCTGGCTGTGGATGGGCTCACCTTGGAGAGCAGCAGGTGGGTTCTAGACCACGGTGAACTGAAGCTCCCTGAAAAAGTCACAAGAGTGAAGTTTCTGTGGGTTGAGAACTTCCTGTGGAGAGTTGGATTGTTACTAAACCAACTGTCCTATGTCACTGGTCCCCTTACTGGCCACTTTGTATCTGGCCTATCTGGTCTCTTGACTTTTAGATAAAACTCTATGCTTGTTAGGCCTAGCCTCCACCAACCCCACAGCCAAGATGTCATCAGCATCTGAGACTGTTCTACTTTGGTGTCTGTTGCTGCAATAAAAACACTGACCAAAAGCAACTTGAGAATAAAAGGTCTTCTTTCATCGTATAGGTTACGGTCCATCATTGAGGGAAACTCAAGCAGGAGCTCAAGGCGAGAGCTTGAAGCAGAGACCCTGGAGCAACACTGCTTACTGGCTTACTCCCAGGCTCACATCCAGCTACCTTCCTGATGCAGCCCAGGACCACTTGCCTAGGGATGGTACTGCCCAAAGTGGGCTGGGCCCTCCTACATCAATCAGCAATCAAGAAAATGCTCCACAGACCTGCCCACAGACCAATCTTAATGGAGGCAATCCTTCTTTTAAAGTTCTTTTTCCAAGTGTGTCAAGTTTACAACAAAACCAACCAGGACAGAGACCTACAGCAACCATTTCCCCACTTTGATGTAACCTATCTGATGTCCCCAATTTTTTGGGGGGTCTTTTTGAGACAAGGTCCTCTGTAGCCCCAGCTGTCCTGGAACTTGCTATGTAGACCAGGCTGGCCTCAAACTCACAGAGATCCACCTGCCTCTGCTTCCTGAGTACTGGGATTAAAGGTGTGTACCACCACCAGGCTGGGCCCTGATGTCTCCAATTTTAAAAATATTTTATTTCAAATTATGTGTATTCATATATGTCTGTGTTTGCCATGTGTATCTGGATGCTCAAAGAAGGTGTTGAAACTCCTGGAGCTGGAGTTATAGGTTGTGAGCTACCCAAAGTGGGTTGTGGGAACCAGGCTTGGGTCCTCTGCAAGAGCAGCAAGCACTCTTAACCATTCAGCCATCTCTCCAACCCCCTTTCCCCATTTTTTAAAAGCATCCTCTCAGGTATCCCAGGCTGGCCCTGAACTTACTACCCTGAACCTCCTTGATCCTCCTGCCTCTTCCTTTCCCAGTGCTGGAATTACAGGTGTGAGTCCCCTCACCTGGATTCCTGATGGTCTTTTGTTCCATGGCTATAAAAGTTCATTCATGGCAAACTGTGCCTGTGTTCCTGGGTCACGGTGTCTCACATTTGGCTCAGAATAAACTCTTACTCCCTTTGGAGCAGGAGCTGTTTTATATCATCAACTACATTAGGATTTTTGGAGAGGGCTAGGCATTGGTGGAAAGCCTCTCATAGGGTTCTGTGTATAGCTGGAGTTGAGCTGTTCACCTGGATTAACTGGCTCACCTGCCCTGGCCACTGTGAGCTCCTGTCTTGGCAGGACTACTCAACCTTAGGCGGGGAGCACTAGTGCAGGAGCTGGTCTGCAGTTGGGGCTGGTTAATTATTCTTGGGGGTAGGTGACCCCTAGCCCTGCCTGGCCTTAGGCCTCCCTCTGGGAGTTTCCTTTGTCACAACTCTGAATTTAGAAAGCAGTAATTGTGTCCTCAAGTCCTATGACAGGAGGGAGAGCCAGGTGTTTGCTGGGCAGGAGGCTGTAACTGGTCTGCCTGGCAGAAAGGAAGATACTCTAGAAAGACATTAATGCCTCCATTTGACTGTCAGACCATTGAAACGATGGACCCCAAGAAAATGGTATTTCCCCAGGCATCTTGTACTTGGAAGAGAAAGAGGGCCAGAGAGATGGCTCAGCAGGTAAAAGCTCTGGCCTCCAAGTCTGATGAGTTCAATTCTGGGGACCTGGTGGAAAGATAGGAACCACTCCTGCAAGTTGTCTTTTGATGCACACACACTCACACACATAAATGTAATTTGGCTAGTGATATGGCTTGGCTGGTAAGGGTGCTTGCCACCAAGCTTGATGACCTATGTTCAATCCCTAGGACTCACATCTCCAGCCTAAAATCCTATCATAAAACACAAAACAGAAACACAAAAAAGCAGATCCAATTTTGTAAAATGCCAGGTCAGTAATGGCCAGGGAGGCCTGGTAGGGCACATTGCTCCCAACCTTGTAGGTTTTGAGATAACTATGGGGGGGAGAGAGGAATGATTTATAGGTTCACGTGCTGATTTTTTAAAGCAGTTATCTGGTTTATTATTATTATTATTATTATTGAGGCAGAGTCTTACCATGTAGCCCTGGTTGACCTAGAACTTGCTATGTAGACTAGGGTTGCCCTTGAACTCAGAGATCTACCTGCCTCTGTTTCCCAAGTACTGGGATTAAAGGCATGTACCACCATGCCTGGCCTGTTACCTGGTTTATATTGAAGGAGACAATGAAAAAGGAAATTGTCATCAATTCAAGCTACTGCTAAGAACAAAAGTCTAATTGAATCAGAAGAAAATCCAAGTTTTTTTGAAAAATATATAAATTTATTAAAAATTTGAAGTTACTTAAAAATGTATTGAAGCCAGAGCACAAAGCAAAAACCTCTATAAACCCATAAGTGCCAGGAATTCGGTATGGACAGGTTTCAAAGGACTCGTTGGGAAGGTTTGTATTGCATTGCTTGGTGCTCTGGGGCTTGGGTACTTTGAGGATCCTCTGCCCTGGAACTGTGGCTAACAGTGCAGGAATGTCACTCTCAGCCAAATGCAGAATACAGGCAGCTGCACATCTCCCAGTCATTGGAACACAGTTTCTTCCCTCCTGTGGAGCGATGCTCTTGTAGACCGATTCCTCATTCAGAAGAACTACTCCATGTCCCATCACAGCCCCAGGGTTCCCTGAAACGTGCAGGCAATGTCTCCAGGTGGGAACCTGTCCTCAGTTCTTATTCAATCACCTAAAACTATCATTTAGCTGGGCACCGTTAGGCAGGTAAAAATGGCTTTAAAATTTTAGAACTTATAATCGTTTCCACAAATATAGTATGCCTATTGCAAAGAAGCATGATAAAAACATCTGGAGCAGCAGTCTCCTCCAAAAACTCAGTGGGAAGGGTCTTCTGAAGAAGCGGCAAAAGCCATCCTACAAGGACAGAACAGGGAAATCAGACTGCTTCACCATGCACAAGCCTGAGCTCAAAATACACAAGGAGGCAGGCTGGAGAGATGGCTCAGTGGTTTAGAGCACTTGCTGCTCTTGCAGATGACTGGGCTTCACTTCCCAGTGCCCACAGGGCAGCTCACACACCATGTGTAATTCTTGTTCAAGGGATATGATGCCCCCTTCTGGCCCGGGGTACTATATGCATGTGGTACACATACATCCATGCAGGTAAAACACTCATACACATAAAAAAATAATTTTTTTTTGTCTTTTTGAGACAGGGTCTCCTTGTAGCCTCAGCTGGCCTGGAACTTGCTATGTAGACCAGGCTGGCCTTGAACTCACTGAGATTCCCCTGCCTCTGCCTCCCAAGTGCTGGGATTAAAGGCATGGGCCATCACACCTAGCTAAAATAAATCTCTAAAAGTATTCAGGAGTGGCTGGGGTGAAGCTTGGAGGTCGAACATGGGATTAGCATGAACAAGGTCCTGGGGTCAGTCCCCAGCATGAAAATGAAAATGAAAGCAAAGGGGGCTAGAGAGATGGCTCAGTGGTTTAAAGCACTTGCTGCTCTTCCAGAGGACCAGAGTTTGGTTCCCAGCACCCACATTGGATGGCTCATAACACCCTATAACTACAGCTCCAGAGAGATCTGACTCCTCTTGCCTCCACATTCATGTGTATATACCATCCCTCCCCACATATATTCACATAATTAAAAATAAAAAGACATTTTTTTGGTCTTTTTGAGACAGGGTCTCTCTGTAGCTCCAGCTGTCCTGGAACTCACTATGTAGACCAGGCTGGTCTTGAACTCACAGAGATCTGCTTGCCTCTGTCTCCCGAGTGCTAGGATTAAAGGCGTGTGCCACCATGCCCGGCAAAAAAACATCTCTTTAAAAAACACTCACACAGGAGGTTCTAGAGAATACTGTAAGATAACTATTGGGTTTGAAACAGAAAGGAGATTCACTATGTAGACCAGGCTGGCCTTGAACTCACAGGGATCTGTCTGCCTCTGCCTCCCAAGTGCTGGGCCCGACCTGTAATTAGGATTTGTAAGAAGCAGTTCAACTCAGTGCCTAGAAGCAATCATTTAACTGTTCTCTAGCAGAAACACCTTACATTTTACCTCAAAGCTGAGGAAAGATATCTTCAAAACCTTATTAAAATCTATTTTCATGACTGGAGAGATGGTTCAGCATTTAAGAGCATGATCTGCTCTTGCAGAGGACCTGGGTTCAATTCCCAGCACCCACACGACAGCTAACAACTGTCTGTTCTAGGGGATCCAGCACACTCTTTTGGCTTCCGTGGGCATTGTACACACATGGTGCATTACATACATGTAGGCAAAACACTCATGCATATAAAATAAAAGTAAATGAAAACATCTTTACTCTCTGATGCCTTCCCCACAATCCTAATAAAATTGAAAAGCTTAAATCTTATGCATACTTCCCCCCTTTTGATGGTGCCAATCTGTCATTATCTCTTTGATTTACCCTTGACCCCCTCTCAACAAATTTAATTCAAAATGGTTTCAAAACTCACCTCCTGACTCCTGACTTATGTTTACTCCATTATTATCCTGGTTCCTATATCCACAGGCCCCTCTTCAGTCCATTGCCTAACTCCATTCATCCAGACCACCATGCAGCACACTACACAGACTCATGTGGACAATATCCTTTTGATGTGTGGCTACAGATATTAGTCTCTGACCCAGATATCCCAAGCTAGCGAGGCCTCCTGACCCCACATCACCCCAAGTCAGGTATGTAGCAACCAGAGACTGAATGCAATGCCTATTATGCCCTAAGCCACCCCCCATCCCCTCTCCCTGTCTCCCTCCCTCTCCCTCTCTCTCCTCTGGAAATGTTATCTTTGGGCTAGAGTATAGTCTCACCATGCTCATCTGCAGCAACCTCTCTTTCTACTGTCACACCTGCTGTCAAATAAGTGGCAGGCACCCTGTTGAAAGTCTGCCTGTGAATTGGTAATCTCTTCCTTGAGGGAAGCTTACCAACCCTAGGCCACCTGAGACTCTTTAAGCAGTCAAGTCCTATATGACAGTCACACATTAACTCTAAGGCAAAACCTTTCCCCTACCCTTGCTGCTAAGAATCAGAAACAACCCAACCAAACATACTGTGGGCTACTTAACTATGTGGCATGGGCCCCCCTTTCCTCTGAAATCAGTAAGAAGGGACTCCAGACTTGCCTTGTGGGCCTGAACTCTCCTCAGAGCTGTGCCATGCTGCCTTTCCATGGTATTAATAACCTGCTAATAAATCTGTTACCCAAAAGGGCAATCTGCCTCCGTGCCCCTCTTTAAAAAAAAAGATTTAAGTATATGAGTATTTGCATGCATGTATGGATATGCACCACATGTATATCTGGTACAGAAGAGGGTGGTCAGATCCCCTGGAACTGGAGTTACAGACGTGAGCTGTGGGTTCAGGGAACCAAGTCTGAGCCCAATAAATGCTCATAATCCCTGAGCCATCCTTCCTGCTCCCTCAGTGACCCTCTTGAAATGCACCTCATGCTCTGAGACCTTGCAAGAAAGAGAGGAGAGCGAGAGAGAGAGAGAGAGAGAGAGAGAGAGAGAGAGAGAGAGAGAGGAGGCAGGAGAGAAGCAGCAGAAGAAAGAGGTGGGCAGAGCGGGGGCAGAAACCAATGCTTTAGCCCAACTGCCTCTCCATGTGAAAAGTCCTAAGGGCAGAGAACGCAGGGAGTTTGCAGACTCAGTTGAAGGCAGTTCACAGGCCCAGTGATGCCAACCTGTGGAACAAAGCAGGTGTTAAGCTAACCCTCATTCTGCCTTTCCTTAAGTGAATTCATAAGAGGCCTAAACACAAACTGCTGACAGGAGGGTAATGTTTTTGTTTTTGTATAGTAGGTTATCATAATTTAGCTACATCTATCCCATAGAGTGGCTCACTTCAGTCTTTATTCAACCCCAATGAGGGGAGGAAGCAAAGAAATCAGAGGCCTAGCTCAGAATCCCAGGGGCCTGCTGCTGGCTTACCCACGTGTAGAGTTCTTTTCTGATGGTTCTGGATATCAACCCAGAGCCTCACAATGCTGGCATCAACCACTGAGCTTTATCTCCATCCTGGGTAGCTTTCCTTGATCAATAGCTCTGCAAAGGAGCTACAGGCCAAAGGCTGCCTCTTTAGCCTACACCTCAGAGATGAAGGACTAACAGAAAGCTAGGAGCCTGGAGGTCCAGGGGAGGGCTAGGTGCAGTGGGTTAGAAATAAAGAACTCATGTCAGGTCCCTACTGAGTGACCACACACATTTTCAAAACCCCTTTGGCCACAGTCTCTTAAAGGTGCATTGATCAGACTGGAGAAGGAAATCCAGGTGGCCTGGGGCTTGGAGCTACCTTTATACCACTTGGGCATCTCAGACCTAATCCCCTTTCCTTACAACCCCTACCTCAAGGGGCAAGGCCTGGGTGCCTGGCAGCTCCTAAACAGGATCCTATGAGAGCCAGCCTTTCTGCTAGTCTGATTGCCTAGAAAGAAACCCCAGGGGCTGGGGGTATGGCTCAGTTGGTAGAGTGCTTGTCAAGCATTCTCCAAGCCCCTGGGTTCCATCCCCAGCACCACATAAATTGGGCATGGTAGCACAGGCTGCAATCCCAGCACTTGGGAGGTGGAAGCAGGAGGAACATTGTGGTAGCAGGCTACTAATGAGTTCTAGGCCAGCCTGGGCTACATAAGATCCTGCCTCAAAAAGAAATAACAAAGACAGAGAGGAAGAAGGAATGTCACATTGGACTGCACAGGGAAGGGTTCAGTGGATCTGAAGCACTCCTGGCCTCTTCGAGGCACACTTGGCATGGAACCAACCCAGCGCTTCCCTGCACAGCGCCGTCTCACCCAGTCATCCTGAGCTTCCAGCCAAGCACGGTGCCGTCCAGTGAGGCGAGTACATAGGAGGTCCACCATGTAAAGGCAGTCCCGGAGCACATGGAGCCTATTCCTCCCCTTGGTATTCTTACAAGGGCTTTGATCCAGGAGCATGCCAGCGAAGGCCACAAGCACTACCACTCTGCCCCAGTTGAGGCTTTGCTGGTCGGACAACACGACATCCGCCATCTGTGACAGCAGCTCCAGACTGTTGCCCTGGTAGCCGCGGAAGGAGGAGAAGAAGGGCTGGTGGAGCTGCAGGGTCTGTGCCGCTACCGAGCGCAGCACGGCGGCCTCGCTGGAGCTCGGTGGCAGCTCCCGGGTGCCTGGTTCCCGTGCGCAGAACAGCAGGTAGTCTATCAGCAGCTGCCGGGTGCGCTCCCGCAGGGGATCTGCCATCCTCCAGCCTCTGCACCCGGCCTGACTGACCCCAGCGGGCTTTCTAGGCCCAGCCCCGCCCCCGCCCGCCCTGGCTCTCGATTTCCCAGGTCCATGGGTGTGTGTGTGGGGGGGGGGGGGGGAGCTTGATGGGAATACCACTTGCACCTGTTACACAATTTTCGAGATGAGGTCCAGAGGCGTGCGCCTGCCCAGGTGTGTCATGGAGCATGCAGGAGCAGTGTGACACTCTTGGATTAATGCTCACCTCTGGGCCGGAGGATTAAGAAGCAGACCAGGACTGGTACGCAACTGGTAAGTGCTGCTTAGCATGCAGGAGGCCCAGGGTAGAACCTCAGCACCGCATAAACCCGGCATGGTGGCACATGGTTCTATTCCCAGCACTTGGGAGGTGGAGGCAGGAGGACCAGGAGTTTAAGGTCATCCTCGGCTATACAGAGCATCCAAGGCCAGCCTGGGCTACAGGAGACCTTGTCTCAAGACAAACAAACACCCCCCACCCTCCAAACAAAACAAAACAAAAAGATAACAAACAGGACCAGGAAATGTCTCAGTGAGTAAAGGTACCTGTGGCCAACCCTGACAACCTGAGCTCCATCCCCAGGATCCACACGCAGAGGGAGAGAATCAACTTCTGAAAGTTGTCCTCTGATCTCCACATGTACATAAACGTGTGCACACAAAACAAAATGTGGTTAAAAAACAGCACTTGGGAGGCAGAGGCACATGCATCTGTGTCAGTTCAAGGCCAGCCTGGTCTACATAGTGAGTTCCAGGCCAGCTGGGGCTACAGGGAGACCTTGTCTCAAAAAGAGAGAAAAAAAAAGTTAAAAAAATTAATTAGCTGCCACCACCACCACCACCAAACCCACAGAGGTGAGTGAATCCTGAAGGCACACAACTGCTATCTCAGCACTCAGAAGGCTGATGTGGAAGGAGCTCTTCTAGTTCAGGGCCATCCTGGGCTACATAGCCAAATTTTGTCTCCAAACCTAACCAAAACCAAATCCAAAACCAAGCCAGAGGGGCAGTGTGGAAAGTTGGACTCCGCTTTTGCTGTCTTAACTTGCTATTGACTGGGCTGACACATTTGGGAAATGAAGTTCTACAAATTGTCAGCTGTCCCAGGCCCAGAGAAGCAATGTGGTCCCAACCCCTAGCCCTGCTCATCCCTGATCTACCAACTGTGCTCTCCAAGGCCCCTGGCTGTCCTTCTTTGAAAGTCTCGAGCAGTTCCCAGGTCTCCTGGTCTGTAATCCTTGTGGATCATCTCTAGGGGCCATCCTGTGACTTACAGAGTTGCTGAGGTTGCCCCAGTCTCCTCTGAGGCCTCACCTCTGCTCACTGTCCTCGTCTCGGTCTCTTCTTTCTTTGCCAAGCTCCTAAGAAGCCTTCTTTTTTTTTCCAGGGAGGTCTCCCCCAGAGGGCCTTAAGAGAGCTCTCTAGCCTGTCGAAGAACCCAGAACCCTTGAGTGTTCCTGAGGGGACATTTTCATATACTGCCGACATTAAAAAAAAACAAAAAAGTACAGTGGGGCTGGAGAGATGGCTCAGTGGTTAAGAACATGGGCTACTCTTGCAGAGGACCAGGGTTTGATTCCCAGACCCCACATGGTGGCTAACAATCATATGTAACTCGAGTTCCAGGGGATGGAGGATCTGATACCCTCTTCTGACCTCTGAGGGGATTGCATGACACGGGTGCACTTACATATATATGCAGGTAATACACTCACACACATAAAATAAAAAAAAATTTTTTCTTTTTTAAAAGTGATACTTTTTTACTCTTGTTCTCTCAGGAGTTTTGGAGACTGCTGATGTCACAGCAGCACCCTGATGACTGACCGAATGCTGCTTCTGCAATCTGAAGGTCTCTCTGAGGAGCAGGGTCCTGAGGCTGAGCCTATAAAGTCAGAACAGGAAGACCTGGGAGAGCAGGACAGGAGACTATGTGACCAACACTTAGGCACAGGTCGTCTTTGGCTGATCAGACTCCAAGGGCCATCCACAGTGCCAGTTTCACCCAGGAATGATTGCATTGTCTGAGGTGACCTTTGATTCCTTTAAGGAATACATGCCATCTTGCTGTATACCATTTGTTTTGTTTTTAAGATAAGGTCTTGGGACTGGGATGTAGCTCAGTTAGTGCAGTGTTTGCCCAACATACAGAACATTCTGGGTTTGATCCCCAGTAGTGCATAAAAGTATAGTACACCCAGCTCATGGTGCATGCCTATAATCCCAGCATTCCAGCACTTGAAAGGTCATACTGGGCAATGCAGCAAGCCTGGAATACACAAGACCCTATCTTAACAAAATGAGGGCTGGTGAGATGGCTCACTGGGTAAGGGTGCTTGCCGCCAAGCCTGGTGACCTGAGTTTGAGCCCCAGGAGCCACATGGTAGAAAGAGAGAACAGACTCCTGATGGCTGTCCTGACCTCCACAAGTGTGCCATGGCTTGTGGATTCACACTCATGCACAAAATACATTAAAAATAAATAAATGTAAATAAATCAAAAAATGAAAAGATGGGGTCTTACTGTATTGCTGAGGCTTGTCTTGAACTCTTGGGCTCAAACCATCCTACTGCCTCAGCTCCTGAGTACTTGGACTACAGGTATGTGCCAACACTTCTGTTTATAGGGCACGTTATTAAAATAGGAGTCGCTAAAACAAAGAATAAATCTCAAAGAATAAATTTCCTTTAAAAGAAAAAAGGAAGGAAGTGAAGGGACTTCGTAATAAAAAGCTCTTAGCTGCTTCTAGAAGGAACTGCTGAAGTTCAAATAAAGACAAGATACCCTTTGCTATCAAAGGCATTGTCATTCAAGAACTACCTATCCATCTGTCTACATAAGAACAATTGCAGAGCAACACACATGAATATGATTTATATGGATGACATCCACTTTAAATGCTTCAATAACTACTCATATGTTTTTTGAGCAACTTTACTGTGTTGTGTTACTGCACAGGAAGGCCCTGCTTGCTCTCAGAAGCAGTCGTGCCACAAACAGCAACCAGCTTTCTCTCAAATACGTGATCGCATGTTACTGCAATCCATCATCTCATCACATAAGGACTCGAACACCCTCCAGCCTTCTGCATGCGTCTACTTCATTTCTAAAGGTTCACACAGACAAAAGCATTTTATTTGAAAAAGATGACTGAACAGGAGGCCAAAAAAAGCTGACTTAACAATAAAAATACATTAAAAAAAGGGATTTGGGGTTATCACATTGGAATTTTCTTCTGTTATTGACCAGTGAAGTCTTTCTCACAGTCCATAAAGCTGTCACATCTAGAGGAAGGTTCTAGAAGCCACAGTCCACAGCAAGAAAAGGTAGATTTTAAAGCGCTCTGAAGATGGACTGGCTTCCAGGAAGCAATAGGAATTTTTTAAATGCTGAGAAATGCATACTTCTAGTGGTTGGAATAGCTTTAAAAACAGACAAGGAGCCAGGTGTGGTGGTATAAGCCTTTAGTCCCAGCACTTGGGAGTCAGAGGCAGGTGGATCTCTGTGAGATGTGAGATTGAGGCCAGCCTGCTCTACATAAGCATGTTCCAGGACAGCTGGGGCTAGAGGGAGACCCTGTCTCAAAACAAAACAAAACAAAAAACAAACGAACAAAAAAGAAACAACAAAACCCAACAAAAATAGCAGAAAACCCAAAACACATATACACAAAACAGATGAACTGGAGAGATGGCTCAGCAGTTAAGAGCACTGGCTGCTCTTCCAGAGGACCTGTGTTCAGTTCCCAGCACCTACATGGCGGCTGACAACCCTCTATAACTCCAGGAACTCTGATTCTCTCTTCTGGCCTCCAAAGACCCTGCATGCATGTGGTACACTTACATACATACAGTCAAAACACACACATATAATAAAGATAAATAAATCTAAAAAAATTTAAAATAAACTAAAAACAGAGGAACTTTAAAAAGTGTTTCGGATGAAATGCACTGTCCAAAGGTGTTCTTGAAGTGCTGAGACCCACTTAAGTAGATTTCCAGGGTGGGGTGGTTCTAATGGTGACAATGGAGGGGATGAGTGAATGCTGAGCTGTGGAGCTCTTCCCATAGGCTAACCACGAGAGGCTCGAGGTGCCTCTGGAAGTCCTTTATATCTTCACGGGAGAATTCACACTCTTCTCAAGCATGTACGTGCACATGTCAGAGGATGGTTACGCCCAAACCTGTGAAGACACACAGACAGATCATTCTTAGTAGGTAATAACTTGTAAGGTGAGTCTAAAGAGAAAATCAGTCTGCACATACGTGTGTACATGGTACATACACTCATATACTCTATGAAAAATGGCTCTCAGCACTTAAGCACATCTGACACCCACCCCTTAGTTGTCTGCTGGGTGTCTGCTGCCTCCTCACAAGGGTCTGGGGACTCTCTCATAAAGTTTCTTTTGAGAATTGAACCACAATAATCCACACAGTGCACAGTGCACACAACACTTCACTGCTAAAGGAGTAAACTTTTTGTTTCAGTAACTTTTCAAAAATCCTTTTATCTATTTGTTCTAAAACTAGAAACTTAACCTATTCCCTTTAAAGACTCCCATGTTTTGGGACTAGAGAGATGGCTTAGTCATTACAGACACTAGGTGCTCCTTCAGGGGACCCAGGTTTGGTTCTCAGCACTCACATGGTGGCTCACAACTGCCTGTAACACCAGCTCCAAGGAAATCCAAAGCCTTCTACTTGACTCCAAGGGCACCTGCACACATGTGGTGCATATACACACACTCAGGCAAAACAGTCGTACACATAAATAAATCTTTTAAAAAAGGACTCCCATGTTTTAAGAGAATAGAATATCTAATGATTACTTACTTTCTAAGATGTTACTAAAAATAATTTTCATTAATTTATTTAGTATGTGTCTGTATACGTGTGTGCCCGTGCCTGTGCACCCATGCATGTGTGTATGCGTGCACTACAGCACACATGTAGATAGAGGTCAGAGGACAACTTGAGGGTGTCAATTCTCTCCTTCTACTATGTAGGTTCTGGGGATCCAACTGAGGTCATCAGGCTTGGCAGCCTGTGCATTTACCTACTGAGCCATCTCACCAGCTCCTCTGCTACTTTCCTTAAAATGTGCCCCTTACCCTCTGTCCAGCACTCTTAAAATTATTATGCTTGGGGCTAGAGAGATGGCTCAGCGGTTAAGAACACTGACTGTTCTTGCAGAAGACCTGGGTTGGAATCCCAGCACCCACATAGCAACTAACAACTGTCTGTAACTCCAGTTCCAGGGGATCCGACAGCCTCTTCTGTCCTCTGAGGGCATTGCATGACATGGGTGCACTTACCTACATGCAGCATAGCACTCATACACATAAAATGAAAGTAATAAATAAAATATATTAAAAATTAAAAAAAATTATTATGCTCCAAATACACCCAATCCTAATCAAGTCTCTATCCGAAGACCTACCTTGAACCAGACCCCCATCCCTTCATACATTCTTCTACTCTCCCGGATTTGAGATCTCACACAACAGTGAAGCTGGGCTTAGCAGCCACATAATTCAGAGCACCAGAAGCTCACCCCCTGCTTTATGAACAGGCTGCTGTATGGTACTCTAAGGGACCTTGAAAGTCTGTTCAAAGCCACAAGGCCCTTCTCCTAGAGCGGCAGATATGTACTCAGCAGATCATCCCAGGGGCTTCGCAGGCCTCTGGCCTTTGGGCCTCAAAGGGGTCTATGACCTGACACACAAGATTGGTTATGGTAAAAAGAACCCACAGCACAGGAAGGAGAAAACCTGCCATTTACTCGAGGTCAGAATTGTAAGAATCTGTTTTTTGTTTATTCATTTGTTTTTGACACAGGGTCTCAATATGTAAATGTGGCTATCCTGAAATTCACTATGTAGACAAGGCTGGCCTCAAACTCACAGATATCTGCCTGCCTCTGCCTCCCAAGTGCTAGAATTAAAAGGATGCACCATTTGACGACCAGTCTAAGAATCAGACTTCTAGGATCTGAAGGAACATTCTGGTTATCTAGCCCCTCTATTCCCTCAGCACCACATGGATGGTCAGTGGTCTCTTGGTGTGTGAATGCCTATGTGAAGCAGCACCCAACCTCCCAGACAGCTCCTGCCTCTGTGGCTTTGGGCAGGGCCAGCAGGAGAGTGCTGGCTGACTGTGCATCTCAGGAAGGTCGCTGCTCCCTGTCCTTTCATGAAGGAAAACCAGACATCTCTCTTACTCTTAGGGTGTGATCCCATGATCCTGAGCAGAACGCTGTCCCATCAGGGGAAACTCGCAGTGTGCTGACGCGATTTTCATGTCCAAACAGGATGGAGACTCGGGAGCCTTTGAGAACATCCCAGACATTGATGGTATAGTCATTGTACCCAGCAAACAGCAGGCGACCTTAAGGTGAAGGATACAATGATTAAACCAGTTCCTGTTTTTCTTTCCATGACTATCACTCAAACACTCACTCATACATTTCCTCATCCATCCATCTGTTCATCCAATAAATAGCAGTCTAGGCCCACTGTGTGCTGACTTTGGAATTCAGGGAGAAAGTACTTTCTCTGTACTCTGTGGAGGGCATGAGACAGGGAGGGATAAATCACAGTAGCACCCTTTCGTGGAAGCTGCTATACTGGGCTTAGGAGTGTGAAAGATGCCATGGGTCTTAGAGGAAGGAGGACCAAAGAGGGTACTGCAGATACACACCACTCATTTCTAATCTTCAACTGGAGTTTACAGAGATTAAATCAAAGTGAGCAAGAAGGCTTTTGGGGGCTGAGCAAGAATCTGCCATAGAGAGGAGGAGCCAGGTAGATGTGCCACAAAATGGCAGCAGTTTCATGTGCACAGCCTCAGAACACAGCAGCGTTCTGTCAGGACTGGTCTGGCCTCTGCCAGTTGCCACCCCAGCTGTGGCAGTATCAAGGAGATTCAGGGCATGGAGGGGAAAGGGCCAGGGAAAAGGTGAAGGGAGGGTTGTCTGAAGGTCAGATGTGGCCTCGGCATATTGCTTTACAGAATGGTCAGGGTTGGGCAGCTTGGCAGAGAGCTGGGTTCCTCTAGGATCCTGACCTACAGTCCTGGAGAAGTTTATGGAATAAAATCTTACCACTGAGGGAGAAGTCCACGCTGGATGCCCCAAATATGATACTCTCCTTAGAATAGATGGCAACCTCTCTGTCTGCCCTGAGGTCATAGAGGCGACACTGGGGTGAAAAGAAACAAACAAAGGCATAATTAATCCTGGCTTTGCTTTTTGAAGCAAAGACTACAGAGCTAATGGGGGGCTGGCAGCTTCTGTGGTTTAAGGAAACCTCTTCAGTTTTCTCTCATATTATTTTAGCCCTCAGTCCTGCTTTCTATTAATCTCCATGGGTTAGTGGAACTCAAAGAAACACAAGGGTAGCAAATTTCTTCAGGTACAAAAACAAACATGAAATCCTGTTTTCTTTTCCCTATCAAAGCACATATAGTTGGGGCTGGAGAGATGGTTCAGCAGTTAAGAACAATGATTGTTTTTGCAGAAGACCCGGGTTCGAATCCCAGCACCCACATGGCAGCTAACAACTGTCCATAACTCCAGTTCCAGGGGATCCCACAGCCTCTTCTGTCCTCCACAGGCATTGCGTGACACAGGTGCACTTACTCACATGCAGACATAACGCACAAAAAAAGAAAAAAAGCACATATAGTCATTGTGGAAAATTCAGAAATATCCAGAAATGTGAAAAGGAGTGGAAGTCATCCGAAGTCCTACGGGACTTTGCTCATTTCTGGGCTGTTCCTTTTCATGCTGTTTCTATGTTATGTGTTGAAACAGATGGAGTGGATGTCACATTACTGTCTGTCAACATTATATGTTATGAACATTTTCTGAACTCAAATATCTTCAAAGGTGATTTACACAGTTGTCTAATGTTCCCCATGTGGACATATATCAGTCTCTTGGGTCACAGCCAACTAAATATTTTGCTTGTGACTAATTTTTCTCTTTTATAAAGAATAGTATGTTGGACACTTTTTGGAAGAAAACTGATTGAATACAGTACAAGGGACAGAGGGTTGGGCTGTGACAAGAGACTTCCCATAACCCTGTGATGAACATTTTCATGAAAAATCTTTATATACATGTCTGATGTCTCCATAGATTAGTTTAGGAGTCAAATCCTTAGAACAGGAAATGGCATGACCAGGGCAAAAGGTAGGGATGTCTTTAAGACTTGATGCCCAGGCCCACTAGCAGCCATGGTGTGGGCTGCTCAATCCCAGGTTCTCCCACTGAGATGTGGGCAGGGGGATGATTGCTGCTGGAATTTTATTATCTTTAGAGGGAAGAATTTATTTATTTATTTGTAATTATTTATATCTAAGGGCAAGCAAAGTTTATTGAGAAGTAAAGAAACGGCTTCCAATAGCTGGGAGAGAACCCGAAAGTGAGTTTTGGGAAGAATCTATTATAGGGCTTTTAACTCTTTCATGTCAGTTAAGACTTTGAGCTCTGAATGACCAAGCTCTTAGAGGTTCTGAGTTAGTCTCCACTGGGAGGTCCTCCGTCCTGGGCAATGCCTGGCTGGTCCAAGAGCCAAAATGGACGTCTGATCACTTAACTTGCACTTCTTTGCAGAGTACTTTGAAAATATTTTCAGGTGTTTGTCATTTTGGAATCATTGCTCTATAAATGGTCTGCATCCTTCCTCCTTCCCGTCCTTCCTTTTTTGGCTTTGGGGATTGAACCCAGGACTTCATGCATACTAGGCAAGCCCTCTACCACTAAGACACCTGCAGTGCTTACTGTTGTGTTCATCATATTGATCATGCAACCTTTTTCATGACTAAAGAGCCTCTCTTGGGCTTCTCTACAGATGGCACAAGTTTTCCCGAAATGTGACCCTTACACTTTGTTGTATGTTTTTGACATATTAATGTTTAATTAAAAAAAAGATTTATTTATGTGTGTGTGTGTGTGTGTGTGTGTGTGTGTGTGCGTGTGTGTGCACGCGCATGTGCATGCAGGTGCCTGTGGAGGAAGAAGAGAGTGTTGGATCCCCTGGAGCTGGAGTTATAGCTCCAGTTATACTGCAGCTGTGAGCTGCCCAACAGGGGAATTGAACTCAGGTCCTTTGGAAGAGCAGCAAGTGTTTGTTAACCACTAAGCAATCTTTCCAGCCCTCAGATCTTCATTATATCTTTGAAAAATTTAAAAACAAGAAAACATTTTTTCTTAAAAACATATGCCAACATAATTTGCCATTAGTAGTAAAAACCTGAAAATTGACTCTGTTTTGGGGTCAGAAAGTCATGACTGAGAGTTTTAAGGAAAAAATGAAAGGATTTAAAAAACACTTACGGCAATGTTTACTTGTTTCATATCCCAGGCTGGCCTTGAACTTCCTCTGTATACATAGCTGAAGATGACCTTGAACTCCTGCTCCTCCTGCCCCACCTCCCCACTACTGTGATCATAAGCATGAGCCACCATGCCAGGCTTTATGGCAGTGTTTTCTTTCTTTTTTCTTTTTTTTTTTGAGACAGGGTTTCCCTGTAGCCCCAGCTGGCCTGGAACTTACTATGTAGACCAGGCTGGCCTTGAACTCACAGAGATCCACATGCTTCTGCCTCCTGAGTGCTGGATTAAAGGCATGCGACACCACGTCCAGCTATGGCAGTGTTTTTAACAGGAGGAAAAACCTGACAAGAGCTAACTGTCCAAAACTCAAAGACATCTTAAGTAAATGATGGTGTGCCCATAATATGGAATACTAGGCAACTGTTAAGAAAATATACTAGAGGGTCTAAAGAGATGGCTCAGCGTTTAAGAGCACTGGCTGCTCTTGCAGAGGACCCAGGTTCAGTTTCCAGGATGCCCATGGCAGCTAACAAGCATCCTTAACTCCAGTTCCAGCGGACCCAATGCCCTCTTCTGATTTCCTTGGGTTCTGCATGCGCAGGTCCACTTACATACATGTAGGCAAAACACTCATACACAAATTGAAAACAATTTTAAAACAAAGAAAATACAGGGGCTGGAGAGATGGCTCAGCAGTTAAGAGTACTGGCTGCTCTTGCAGAGGACCTGAGTTCAGTTCCCAGCACCCACATGACAGCTAACAACTGTCCATAACTCCAGTTCCAGAAGATCTGACACCTTCTTCTGATCTCTGCAGGCACTGCATGACATAGGTGCACTTATACAAATGCAGGCAATACATTCATACACATAAAACAGAAATAATAAAAAAATTTAAAAAAAGAAAATAAACTAGAGAAAAATGTTTATTAAGCACAGAAAAATGTGCCTAAGCTATTGTTATGTGAAAGAGTCAAATACATAAATAAACATCATATTTACAAAAAGAAACTGCAGACAGGATTCATTCAACTGTGAGTTTCTTTAGGAAAGATGATTAATGTGATTTCCCTCAAATTTTCTTCATTGAATACACATGCCTTCTGTAACCAGAAAGCAAGGAGTTTTTTGTCTATTTGTTTGTTTGTTTTTTGAGACAGGGTCTCCCAGTAGCCCCAGCTGGCCTGGACTATGTAGAGCAGGCTGGTCTCGAACTCAGAGATCCCTCTTGCCGCTGCCTCCCGAGTGCTGGGATTAAAGGCGAGTACCACTATGCCCTGAAGAAGATGTTTTTAAAACAGTGCCTTCAGTACCTTCACTCCCATGGCCTGCTGCTCCCTTGCAGTGTATTCTATTGCTTGCTTTAAATAGTTTCTTTGCTACTTTCACAAAAAATAAAATAAAGCTCTCATCTTCCCCTTTGTGTGTTCAATAACTGAGAAACGTACCGTTGCGTCATCTGACCCTGAGGCAAAGGCGTCTCCACTGGGGTAGTATCTGCAGAGAGAGTTGGCAGGGAGTCATTATGGGCTGCAGCTATTCCCAGCCCTCCACACCTGTCAGAACATCTGGGAAGGCATTTCGGGCCAGACTCTGGGAACCAGAACCTCTATAGGAAGATTTGTTGTGGAGACCAGAAGGAGCCTCAAGTGGCAGGCCCAGTGGCCTCTTGTTTTCCTCCTGGTAAACGGGACAGTGGCACTGGCCTTAGAGGGCTAAAGGAGGTAACATGGATTCCCATCAGACACTGAACAGAGTAAGAACCCTGTCCTTCAGCTAAGTCCCAAAGTGTGGCTTGGAACCCAGGAACAATGGAGTCGGATGGGCAGAGCCATGTCAGCTGTCTGCACCGTCAGAACACACGGCACTTTATGTCCTTACTTCCTACTGATCACTGAGACAAGGATGGTGATAGCGGTGGTAGCTGTCAGTCATTGAATGCTTTTTATGGCATCATCTTACCCAGCCTTGGTTTCCTTATGTGAAAAGCAAGTATAATAATGTGCATCCCCATGGTGAAGATGAAGTAGGGCAGTGTACATGCAAAGAATCCAGTATGGTACCAAGTAAAAGCATTCGATGCCAGGCGTGGTGGTGCATGCCTTTAATTCTAGCACTTGGGAGGCAGAGGCAGGCAGATCTCTGAATTAGAGGCCAGCCTGGTCTACATAGTGAGTTCCAGGGCAGCTGGGGCTACAGGGAGATCCTGTCTCAAAAAACAAACAAAAAAGACCAAAAAAAGCATTCGATGACTGACAGCTACCACCTCTATCACCATCTTTGTCTCAATGATCAGTAGGAAGCAAGGACATGAAATTGTAAATCAGAGGTAGGATTGGAGCAAGGGTAATATTTATTTAGAGACAGGGTCTCATGTAGCCTAGGCTGGCCTCAAACTCTATGTAGCCGAGGATGACCTTGAAGTACTGATTCTTCTGCCTCCCTATCCCCAGTGCTGGGATTAAAGCAGTGCACTACCACACTTGGTTTATTCACTGCTAGAGATAGAAGTCAGGGTTTTAAGTATGCGAGGTAAGCACTCTACCAACTGAGCTACATCCCCAGTCTCTGAAAAAGGATCTTTAATCCCTCCACTTTGCCCACACCCAGCTGTGCCCCATCCTGGCTCTACAGCTCCAGATTTGGGAATTAATTCTCCTCCTGGAGAGATGATAGTAAAAATTTCTCTCAAGGGATAGGGAAGCGTGAATTTTTTAGTGCTCATGTTTGTGTATGTGCATGTTCTTATGTGTGCATGTGCAGAGGCTGGAGGACAACCTCAGGGGCCAATCTCAGGAACACCATCGACTCCCCTGAAGCAGGTCTCTCACTGACTTAGAGCTCACCAATTAGGCTACATTGGCTGTTCACTGAGTCCAGAGATCCTTTCGTCTCCACCTCCCAGGGCTGGGACTGCAAGCACTCACCACTATGCCTAGCATTTTTATGTGAGTGCTGGAGATTGAACTCAGATCCTCAAGTGCTTTACCAGATGAGCCATGTCCCCAGCCCTAGCAAGCATGGTTTTGTGTGACTACTTTACACTGCTCTGAAAGAAAGGGATGGAGAACAGAGAGTTCGGAGGAGAAATGCCAAAAACTTTCAGCTCTGCTACATGTTGTGGTGTGGACACATCTTTTTCAAAGTACTAGGGAGTCGTGGAGTAACAGAAACTCCTGTATTCCATTATCTAATCAAGACTGATTTCTAGGGGCTGGAGAAAATGGCTCAGTGGTTAAGAGCACTGCTGCTCTTGCAGAGGTCCTGGGTTCAATTCCCAGCACCCACATGGCAGCTAACAACTGTCTGGAACTCTAGTTTCAGGGGAATCAGACAACCTCTTCTGACCTCTGAGGGCACTGCACAACACAGGTGCACTTACACACGTGCAGGCAATACACTCATATACATCAAATATTAAGAAATAAAATATTTTTAAAAAGAGAAGGATTTCTAGATAATACTCCACAGCCAGGGCTGTATATCATTAATGCACAGGGATTTATTTTCTCAGTTTCGCCTTTCATCCTGCATCTTACTAATTTCACTTATTGTTATTGGTGGTTCCTGGATTGATTTCTCCTGATTTTCTTGGAAACTGTTGCTCATTACAAAAAGTCAGTCTTTTTCCTGATTCTACATTTGAGGGCAGGGAGTACTCAAGTACAGACATTTTTTTTTTATAAAAAATTTACATTAACGTGTGTGTGTGTGTCACAGCATGTGTATATGGAGGTCAGAGGACAACTTTCAGCAATCAGTTTTCTCTTTCTAGCATGGGTCCTGGGGATGGAACGCAGGTCATCAGGTTAAGCATCAGGTGCCTTTACCTGCTTGGTCATCCCACTGGAGAATATTCTTCTTTGGTACCTACTTTTAATAGGAACATGTCTCATATTTTCCCTCTAAGAAGCATGGCAATTAGAACTCAGAGCAAAAAGACGCCTCATACTGTCTTGGCAGTGGCGTCTTCTGAACGTGTGCAGTCCTGACCCTTCTCTGGGATTCCACTCATGGAACTGGCTGCTGGCTTGGCATCTCCATCTGGCTGTCTAGTTTGTACCTCAGGATGGAGCCCTACACAGTGCTCTCAGATCCAGGAGGATCCACCTCCCACTGTTGTTCCTACAGCCCTCCCTCTCTAAACAACTTGGCCACTGATTACTGTCTAGCTTAGAGATCTAGGTTCCCTGAGCTCAGGGCTCTTCTATACAATGCAGCCCTGGCGGGTTCAGGTGGTGTTAAGCTCTTTGCGTGTCGCCCTAAGGAATCAGGGTTCAAGCAACCGGCACAACTGCTAGCTAGTGCCACTGGTGAGTGAGAAACTGTCCGTCTAATATGGACACAGGAGTCTGTCTTCCGCCAGAATCTGTGGGCTATGGCAGCCTTACTTTTTAACTTGCAGGTAGGTAAACTCTCAGACCCTGCATAATTCTTGATATTTCTGTCTCCATGTCTCCCTTAGTTCCATCATTTGAATTGTCATTTTTTATCTTGAATTCATGAGCAACCGGCTGTATTTTTACCTCCCTAGGAGTATTTTTACTGACTACATACTCAGTTCTCTAGAATGTTTCCTCTCTGTAGCCAGAGCAATCTTTTAAAGGCCAGACAAGGGAACGGAGAGATAGCTTAGTGGTTAAGAGCAATGGCTGGACTTGCACAGGACTTCAGTTCAGTTCCCAGTACCTACATGGTGGCTAACAACCATCTATAACTCCAATGCCACAGGATCTGACACCCTCTTCTAGCCTCTGTAGGCACTGCACATTAACATACATGCAGGCAAAACACTCATGCACATAAAGTAAAAACAAACAAAAAATTATGGAGAGAATGCTATTTTTTCTTATTTTCTTATTTTTATTTTATGTGTATGAGTGTATTGCCTGCTTGTATGTAAGTGCACCAGTGTCATGCAATGCCCACAGTCAGAAGAGGGTGTCGGATTCCCCTGGAGCTGGAGTTAGGGACAGTGGTTAGCAACCATGTGGGTGCTAGGAATTAATTGAACCTGGGTCCTCTGCAAGTACAGCCAGTGCTCTTAACCTCTGGGCCATCTCTCCAGCCCAGAGAATGCTTTTTTTGGGGGGGTCTTTTTGAGACAGGGTCTCCCTGTAGCACCAGCTGGCCTGGAACTCATTATGTAGACTAGGCTGGCCTTAAACTCACAGAGATCCGCCTGCCTCTGCCTCCCGAGTGCTGGAACCAAAGGCACGCACCACCACCCCCGGCATAGAATGCTGGTTTTTTTTGCATTATTTTATTTATTATTTTTATTTTATGTGTATGAGTGTATTGCCTGCATGCATGTGAGTGCACCTGTGTCGTGCAATATTGTGGAGGTCAAAAGAGGGCTTTGATTTCCCCTGGAACTGGAGTTAAGGACAGTTTGTAGCCGCCATGTGGGTGCTGGGAATCGAACTCAGGTCCTCTGCAAGAGCAGTCAGTGATCTTAACCACTGAGCCATCTCTCAAGCCCCAGAATGCTATTTTTAAAAAAGGCCAGAGAGGCTCATGCTAGCTAACCTCTCAGAGGTCTCTTGGCTTTTTGCTAGGCCTGCTATCATCTCACCTCAGTGCTCCTTAGGGCTTTGTAACCCTGTCTTTGTATCGCCCTGACCTCAGTTTAAAAGTCACTGTCTCAGAGAGGCCTCTGACCTCTACACCTAAGAAACAACCTACCCTATCCTATCCTATCCTATCCTATCCTATCCTATCCTATCCTATCCTACTGTTTTACTTTCTTTCCCATGGCATTCACTGGATCTCAAATTAAATTATACATGTGTACATTTGTATTGTATCTGTTTTTTTCCTTGAAGGGCAGTAGAAGCCTCGTACATCCTGCTTGCTGCTGACCCATTTCTGAGACAATGCCTGGCATTCATACACTCAGTAAATACGAGCTTAATTAGGGGTATATGGGTTGTGTCTAAAGTAAGTAGATTGAGACTCTCCTGTGACCCTGAGCCTGTCCTGCTGAGGAACACTCTCTCCTCAGGTAACCTTTGCGGGGGCAGGGGTAGGGAAGGGGGTCCTGATGAGGACAAGCCAAGGAGCTCATGCATCCTACTCACTGACCGGACACTGTTGACGTCAGATTCATGTGTTTCAAAGGCTTGAACACACTGGCCAGAGCGCATGTCCCACACCATGGCCTTTTTGTCACAACCCTGCAAACAGAAAGTTACCCAGTTATGATGACTGCACGGACTGTGTGTAGACTGGGCATTTCAACAAGTTATTTTCTGTAACCCATCAACCCCGAGGAAGCAGAACCAGCTCCCAGGACAGAAGAGCGAGATGGGGAGGGCATCCAGCTTCCCCATTAGTGTTTCCTTCTTTTGCACACCTCTGAGTTGGAGGCAAGACCTCCAGCACCTCCTCTCACCTTCCTCATGGGCATTTCCCTTCCTCCACTCCCCTTCCCTTTCCTCCTCTTCATGTCCATCTTCCTAAGCTCAGAGGCATGGCAAGCAATGGGGCTCAGTCTGTGATACTAAGAGATGGGTTGGTGGAGCCAAGCAGAGCATTCGACAGCCTCAGCTTTGTCAGAGGTGTAGGTCCAGTCCTCAACACAAGTGGAAACAGGGTGCCCTTGAGCCATGTGCACCTCAGTAGTATGCTGGCCTGGGAAACATCTGCCCTGGGGCCTCTTCAAGGGCCTGTCACTGAATAGCTGGGGGTGTGGCAAGTTACATCCTCAGCCTTCTGCCTTAACACCTGATAGGTGCATGCTCTGAGTCACTAACATGACCCAGAAGATCACAGACAGGTTTTCCATATTCTGCTATCAAAATTCTGGGAGCTTTTTGATAAAAAAAAGAGCTTAGATAGTGAAATGCATTCTCTCAACAGTCAGATGAAGTGATGACTTAAAATTTGTGTTCAAGTTTTTGGCTTCAACCCAGAGTAAAGGGTTGGGATGAACAGGCACAGGTGATGGGGAAGAAGACCCTGAGCATTGCATTTCACTGAGGATAGAGACAGTCAAAGCCAAGTGTCTTCAACCTTGGATGCTGAAGTAAACAGAGTTCATGTGTGCAAAGACACAATACAATCTACAATGATTACCATTTTACAAGTGCAGTATGGTCAAGTGGGAGTGATACAGTTAGACAAAGGCACAAGGAGGGAACATACATGAATGACCAAATGCCCAAGAAGAAAGTCGGTCACACAGCCCTGGCCTGACTCCCAGGGCCAAAGCATGGGAAGCTTGGAGCAGAGAGCCCTACAGAAAAGAGTATGTGTCTCTCTCCTCACCACTGTCTCCTGAGCGGGGAAGGCAGGACTGGGTCAGGACAGCTAGCCCAGTTCTGTGTTCTCATTCCCAGTCTGCACAGTAATCCCCCTCCCATCTGGGTAACACTGCAACATCTTCCATCTACTTTGGGTAACCCCTTGGGAAGGAAGGGGGTGATTACTGCTGTACAATGCATTAAGCTTACAACCTAGGAAATCAGCCAGGACCCATGTATACTGACGCTGACCCCCAGTCTAGCGCCCCTCTGTACCATGTGGCCTTCACTGCCAATGAGCCTGCAAATTCTGTTTCCCACACCCAAAGATGGAAGATACAGTATGGAAGAGATGTACCCTGAGCTTCAGTATTAAAACAGAACATTCCAGATCTCTCTGTGGACTGTTGAATGTTGATGGCAGAATAGAAGGGGGCCTGAAGACAGTGCTGACACTGCTGTAGGGAGCTGAGGACACTTCTAGGGAAGATGTGGGACTAGACACAGAACAAACAAGAACTGCCACCATCTGCCTCCCTAGTGAACAGAGACCCTAGAGAGTTTCCTTGAATCTTTACCCCAGACACAAAGGTGTTTCCAGTTTCTGAGGGGGCCAGGTCCAAGCAAAGGACATCTGCTCCGTGTCCATGGAAGCTCTGCAGCAGCTGTCCGCTCTCCACATCCCACAGGGCACACGTTCCATCACCACTGGCTGTTAGAATCTGAAAAAAGAGTGTTGGTGAAGGTTAGTCAGCGGTTTAACCTTCCATAGGGAAATAGGGAAACTACACAGGCAGAATGCACACACACACACACACACACACACACACACACACACACACACACTCATTGCTGAATCTGGGTACAAGCACAAAGAAATGTTTCCTATATCAAGAAAGCCAAAGTGAACTTTCAACACCCTCACAGTCCTGTTTGGACACTTGTCTGCTTCTAGAGCTGAAATCCCAGTGGTCTTGCTGCCGTGCCTCCAGGGTTCCATGCCCGCCTTGCCTGTAGGAGATGCTCTGTGAACCTTTCATAGATGACACTGTGATGCAGTGTTTCTTGGACTTCATTATGCATACCAATCACAGGGCTGCTTGGTGATGTGCCATGTATGGGTGGGGCCTGAGAGTCTGCAAGTCTCTGAGCTCCCAAGGGAGTTGCTGGGGTCACTGGACTGCACTTGGAGGAGCATTTTGTCATGCCCTCCTGTGGCTGTTTTTCTCTGAGCAGTGTTACTCAGGGGCTCCCTGTACATGCCCAGATGTAGCAAACCCAGGGCTTCCTACATGCTAGCCAAACACTCTACCAGCTGAGCTACATCTCTGGTGCATGGTGGCTCTTGATGTTGAAGAACACAGGGACCATGATCCAGGGACGCTGGATCTAATGTGGAGACTAAGCTTTCCACCTGGAGCCAGGAGAATCTTGTGGACCACGTGGGTTCTGGGGGGCCAGGAGGCACCTGGCATATGGGTGCTAGATGCCAGACACCTTCCTCCATGGAAGCACTTTCGGGTCTGTGTAACTAAATCAATTCTGGATCTAGTCACAACTTGCTGAAGACACATGGTAGGAGTGCTAGAGGTTTATTCAAAGTAGATGTAGATTCAGTGTCCATAACATTTTGTTTTTTCATCTATGTTTTTAAATGTAAAGATTTATTTTATTTGTGTATGTGTGTTTATGTGCACCTTTGGGGGTAGAAGCCAGAAGAGGATGTCAGATCTCTTGAGGCTGGAGTTATAGGCAGTTTTTGAGGCTGCCTGGCTTGTTATGTGGGTGCCAGGATCCAAATCTGGTCCTCACAATCATGCATCACGTCTGCTTAACGGCTGAGCCACCTCTGCAGCCTTGTTTCTGCATTTGTTAAAATAGGAGGAATGTAAAACAGAAATGTGTTCAGTGTGCATTCCCGAATCTCAGCAGCTCTTGAGGGTTTATACATGCCAGTACTTTACAAGCTGCACTCAGACCCCGACCCAAGCAGCGCAGGGTGCTCTATACCACACCTGTAGTTTATCTCAACTCTAGCAACATCAATAGCCATTCTTCCCCAATTTCTGATTTTACCATAAACAGTAACAGTAACCAAGGAGAAACAACAGGTACTTCCCCTGGAGCCAATGCTGGGTGTAGAGCTGATCCTTCCCTCCACAGCGTCTGGTCATGTTCTGCGGGGCTGCTGCCCCACACAGATGTGTGCGCTTACCTGCATGTCAGAGTTGGTGAAACTGCAGGCAGACAGGTAGTTGGTATGCATAGCGACCGACTTCTTCTTGGCAGCCATGTTCTCGTTTTTGTCAAATGTCAGTGGATACACGGAACACTTATTATCCAGACCACTACACAGAAGAAAAAGGGATCAAAGGCTGATATGGGCCAAAAGGATTCACAAGTTTTTTCTCACTTACACCAGCTTCTCAAATGTAGTATCATATGTTGTAATCATTCCCCTTTGACTTTGAAGATCTTCAAATTTAAAAACATAACAAACCCACAGAAAAGAATACAAAGAATATGGATATTCTTTTCTTTGATTCACAGATAATATGTTCCGTTTGTGGGAGCAAATTCTGAACCATCTGAAAGCAAACATGACATTTTATTTCTGAACATGCAAATTCACATCTAAAAATAATTACGTTCTTTTGCACATCTACTGCATCCTATCACATCTGAGAAAGTTAACAAAGGTTCCATATCGTCTAATGAGCCCTTCATAGTCAACCTCCCCAAGCTGTTGTCAGGATCCAGCACCAATGAAGCTTCACAGCTTAAAGTGTTCATCTTTTTAAGACCTTTAATCTAGAAGACATTATTCACTGATTTTTATTTTTGTGTGGGTGGTACTTGTGCATGTGTGTGTGTCTGCGTGTGTGGGAATGCATGTGTATGCAGGTATGTGTGGAAGTCGGAGGTTGACATTGCGTGTCTTCAATCGCTCTCCATTTTACTGAGGCAAGATCTCTCACAGAGCCTGGAGCTTGCTGATTTGTTGAGTCTAACTAGCCAGCTTGCCCCATCTCTGCCTCCTGAAGGCTGGAATAACAAGTATGCCATCACTTGAACTTAGCTTTTTTTTTTTTCAAATTAAAAAATTGTATTATTTATTTGTTTATGTATTGTTTTACTTTTTTTGGTCTTTTTGAGACACGGTCTCCTTGCAACCCCAGTTGGCCTGGAACTCACTATGCAGATCAGGTCCACCTTGATCTCACAGACATCTACCTGCCTCTGCCTCCCAAGTGCTGGGATTAAAGGTGTGTACCACCACGCTTGGCTTTATTATTTATTTACTTATTTATTTATTTATTTATTTATTTACTTACTGTGTGTGCATGTGTATATGGAGTTCAGAGGACAACTTGTGGGAGTTGTTTTTCTCCTACCACATGGGTCTCAGGGATTGAACTCAGGTTGTCATGCTTGAAGGGAAGTCCCTTAACCTACTGAGCCATCTTGCCAGCCCAATTGAAAAAAAAATTGTTAATTTTATTTATTTATTTAATGTATGCATGTGGATGTCAGAGGACAATGTTCAGGAGTCTGTTCTCTCCTATAATGTGGAATCTGGGGATCAAACAGGCTGTCAGGTTTGATGGGAAGTAGCTTTACTCATTGAGGCATTGTCTTTTAATTTTTAATATTTTTATTACATTCATTTATTTGTGTGTAGGTGTTTGTACCACATGTATAGAGATCAGAGGACTTGTTTGGAATTTGGTTCTCTCTTTCTACCATGTGGGTCCTAGAGATCAAACTCAAGTTGCCAGTTTTGGTAGTAAGCATCTTTACCTGTTGAGCCATTTCCCCAGCCCAGCTGAGCCATTTTGATGGTCCCCCTTTTTTAAATTAAAAATTTATTATAGCTGGGCATAGTGGTGCACACCTTTAATCCCAGCACTTGGGAGGCAGAGGCAGGCAGATCTCTGTGAGTTCAAGGCCAGCCTGGTCTACATAGTGAGTTCCAGGACAGCTGGGGCTACAGGGAGACCATGTCTCAAAAAAGAAAAAAAACAAAACAAAAAACCCCAAAATTATTTATTATATGTGTGTGTCTGTATGATGTGTGTAAGTGTGCAGAGATCAAAGAACAACTTTTAGGAGTCTGTTCTCTCATATTGTGGGATCTAGGGATCAAACCCAGGTTGCTAGGTTTGCTTGGCAAGCACTTTTACCTGCTGTGCTATCTCCCCGGCCTCTGCCTGGCTTTTTATGTGGGTGCTGGGGATTCAAACTCAGGTCCTCACATTTATGCAGCAAGCACTTTATCCACTGAGTCATCTCCTCACCCCCTATTTTTTGTTGTTCATGGCAGATCTCAGGCCAGCTGTTTTACAGTGCCCCACATTGTGCACTTAAGTTGTTTCCTCTTGGTTAGACAGTACAGGTTGAGACCTGTATCAGAAGTGTTTCAGGTTTCAGATTTTTTTTTTTTTTGGTTTTGGAATATTTGCTTATACAAAGTAGAAAAGTATTTTGTGGCTAGTAGGGTATCTGAAAGGCTTACCCACAAGCAATGGCACATCCTGATGGAGCGTAAGCGCATGCCATCACCCACGTGCAGGGCATGGTGACCGCGTGCTCCTGAAACACAGCAGCACCAATCAACAGTGAGCAGCAGGCACACACACACACACACAGGCTTAATATTTGAGTTTTACAAAATAAAAGCACCAGAGTCCCCACTAAATATCACCCACCAAAGGGACGTGGCTAGGGGCAAAGGTGGGCTTGGCCTCTTCAGTACCAAGTCTCAGCTAATAAATAGTGATATTTTACTTCTTTATTACTATATTCCTGTTGTTCTGCATAGGTATTGAGGGCTCCTTTCTTTTGATTATCTATCTACCTACCTATCACCTGTTTTATATATGTATGTATGTATGTATCTATCAATCTATCTTTCAATCTGTATCTAATCTATATCATCTATCCATTATCTATCATCTGATCTATCTATCTATCTATCTATCTATCTATCTATCTATCTATCTATCTATCTAATCTATCTATCTGTCTGCATGATTTTCCAGACATACTTTATCTTATCAACTTAGTTCCCATTTTCACAAGCCATCTGGAGTGACTTTATGTACAAGCTTGCTTACATGTGAGCACCCACAAGTCTACCCACAAGGAGTCCTAAAATCTTTCCTTGCAAGGCATGTGTGGGAGTGGGAGGAGGAAGGTGATTTAGGGGTGTGTGCACAGATGACAGAGAACTCCCAAATTAAGAACCAAATTTAAGAGCTCATGTCTGGGGGCTTGGTCATCACAGCCCCCTGCAGGCAGGTTAGCAAACTGCAGCAGTCCTGCTTAGAAGCATCTGGGTCTGCACTCTCCTCTTCCGAAGGGAGTTTCTGATTCTGACACTAGATGTGGGACTCTGTGTAGATCAGCCATTTGATCTGTGTGTAGTCCTTGTTCTGTCTGTGAAATGAGGGAGAGGACCAGCCCATTCCCAGAGCACACTCAAGGCCAGGTCTTTTCTGTTTTGGCTGTATTTGTGTGGGGAGATCCAGGTCTCAATACTGCCTGCCTAAATCCTGCTGTCTCTTGAACTGTACTGCCTCTCAGATGTTAGAAACACTCCACCACTGTGCTGGATAGCTTTAGTTGTCAACTTGACACACCTGGGTAGAGGGACCCTCAATTGGGGAACTGCCTCCATTGGACTGGCCTGTGGCCATGTCTGTGGGGCATTTTCTTGATTTTTGAGTGATGTGGGAGGGCCCAACCCACTGTGGGCTGTGCCACCCCTGGGTAGGATGTTCTGTATTGTATAAGAAAGTAGGCTGAGCATGAGCCAGGGGAGCAAGCCAGTAAGTAGTGTTCCTCCATGATCTGTGCTTCAGCTCCTGCCTTCAGGTCCCTGCCCTGAGTTCCTACCTTAGGTTCCCTGATGAACTATGACCTGGGAGATGGAAGACAAATAAATCCTTTCCTCTCCAAGTTGGTATTGGTCAGAGTGATCTGTCAGAGCAATTGACGGCAGACTAGAACAACCACCTTCTCACTAAATGGGGGCTACTTGTGGCACAGGGCAGCTCAGACTTTATAGCAGTGGTTTCCAGCTTGTCAGGAGTCACACAGCAACGTCAAGTCTCCCCAGGAGTCAGTCAGTGCTCCGTGAAGTAAACACATGGAGGACCACTAAAGCACACAATGCAGAAGATGCTGAGGCTACTGAGAGGGGTCTGGATCTGAGGAGGGAGCTAATGCATACGAAGGCCTGTGCAAACTTAAAATTCTTTTGTGTGTGCATGTGTGTGCATGCACATGTTTATATGTGTGAGTGTGCTTGCCACAGAATGTGTGTGGAGATCAGAGAACAACTTGCAGAGTTGGTTTTCTCTTTCTACCATATGGGTTTCAGGCATCAAACTCAGGTTACTGGGCTTGGGTGGCAGGTGCCTTTACTCGCTGAGCCCTCTTGCTGGCCCCATACTCCTTCACCCCTTGTTCATTTCTACAGTGTTATGACTCTGCTAAGAGGTAAGGGAGGGATAACTGAGAATTTTTGTCTTTTGCATCCTCACTCAAAGAGAAATATTGAACACAGTTGCGCATGTGGGCCTAACAAGTTTTCCTGGCTGTGCTCTATCCTGTCCTCTAGGAGGCAAGGCTGGGATGGCTGAGCTGTTCAGATATGACTGTACATTCTTGGGGTTTCCATCCCCATTCACTGGGTGCCTGGAGAGGAGGGAGTCACCTTGGTAACCTGGGGCCACTTACAGGACTGGGAAGAATGCCTTACCTTGTTAGTGGTGAAGGAATCCCACACAATCACCTTTCCATCCTGGAGAGAGACAAGAAAACAGTTGAAGAGTTGGTAATGGCAATGCACTCATACCAGTAACAACTTATCAGTAACAGCCGTGGAGTGAGTCCTGAACACTGGGCCCAGCTGGGCAGCATGGGGAGCCAGTGCAAATCTTGAATGATCAAGACCTCCTCGCCTACCTGAATAAGGGGGTGTGAGGGAGGGAAGGCTGGGCTTTCCAAGAAACTAAAGGCTCAGTTCTCAGCACTACATTGTTTGGTCTAGATGAAACTACACAAAAAACAAAGCCAGGCATGGTGGTGCATACCTTTAATCCCAGGTAGAGGCAGGCAGATCTCTGTGAGACTGAGATTGAGGCCTGTCTGGTCTGTATAGTGAGTTCCAAGCCAGTTGGGGCTACAGAGTGACCTGTCTTCAAAACCAAACAACAACAACAACAACAACAACAACAAGCACTATAGAAAATAAGACTCAGATGCTTTTTTATTGGACAGCATCTCACGTAGCCCAGACTGGCCTAGAACTTGTTTGTGGCTGAGGATGACCTTGAACAACTGATGCGCTTCCCTCCACCTCCTGAGTGCTGGGATTGCAGGTGTGCACTGCCATTCCTGGTTCAGGATCAATCTCTGAGTCCCTCAAGCCATTTGGAGGCAAAACTTGCAGGAAGATCAGGCTGGAAAATATTCTTTAGGGCAGAAGTGAGGTTTGATGTTATGGTGACAGAGTCTTTGCCTACCACTTTTGGTAGAAGTCTAGATTAATGCTGCATGTGGCTGAGGTCAAGGTTCATAGTTTGGAGCTCTTCAAGATTCCAAAGCTCATGGGTTAACAGGATGCACAGAGTGGGTTAGGAAATATTTCATGCATAAACACAGCAGGGGCTCCGAGTATGCACTTTGGGGTCCTTGGTGCCTAGAGTCCATACTCCCTAGGTGGGGACGTTGACTCTGCCCACTCTGCAGTCTCATTAAACTAAGTGTAGTCCTCCACAAGCTGATTTGCACGCCAGGTACCTGGAGAGAAGTATCTTCACCCTCAAACTCTATTCTCTCTCATCAGAGTGACTAATCTGCTTTAAAGGGAGAAGGTTGCTGGTAAATCAAAATCTGTTTCAGAGTCTTCTATATTTTCAGCCTTCATCCCACACTCCATGCACATCCTCCTACCTCTCTGGAGCAGAGGGAGATGCACAAAATGTACTCAGAAGTGTCAGTGTGGCCCTGCTTCCCCCCTCCTTTCCCAATAAGAGTAGCACATGAGGGGCTGGGGCTGTAGCTCAGATGGTACAGTGCTTGCCTAACATGCACAAAACCCTGGGTTCAATCCTTAGTGCCACATAAACTGGGCAAGGTGGTGTACACCTGTAATCTTAGCACTTGGGAGATAAAAGAAGGGGGATCAGAAGTTCAAGGTCATCCTCAGCTACATAGTAACTTTGAGGATAGCCTGGGATACATGAGATCCTGTCTCAAAAAAAGAATGGTACATGAGTGACAGAAAATTCCATATATGGTAAGGATCTAGAGGACAGAAAAGCCAGGCAGCAACATGGCAGCTTGACAGCCACTTTATAAAAATAAGTACTTGAGGGGCTGGAGGGATGGCTCAGTGGTTAAGAGCACTTGCTGTTCTTGCAGAGGATCAGAGTTTGGTTCACAAGTGCCTGTAACTCCAGCTCCCTGGGGATCTGATGCCTTTGGCCTCTGCAGGCACCTGTTCTCATGTTTATAAACAGACAAAAACATATACATAATTTAAAAATAAATGTTAAAAAATAAGCATTTGGGGAAAGATAAAGACTAGAAAGGAACATTCTTCAATAATAAACTGGATACCTGCCATCTCAGCACCAAGTGCAATGTGGCATGTGAGATCTACAGGTAACAGATTAGTCACACCTATCCTACCTAACATGACACTGACAGAGATGTGACACCTGGTGGGTGTTAACATGTACATTTTCTTTTTAAAAGTATTTTCTGTATGGGTATGTGCAGGTGAGTGTGGTGCCCCAAATTTCTTACTGAATATAATAAATAGACTGTTATATTGTAGAATCTCAATCACTTTTGCCTTCTGATTTGCGAAAAGGCTTTTAAAAATGGGTTCACTTACAAATGAGACCCTGTAATATGCTAAGGGAGAAATTTTTCTAAGGGTTCATCAAAAAAGTTAAATATAGGGGCTGGAGAGATGGCTCAGTGGTTAAGAGCACTGACTGCTTTTGCAGAGGACCCAGGTTCAATTCCCAGCACCCACAAGGTGGCTAGGAACAGTCTTTAACTCCAGTTCCAGGGGAATCCAAAGCCCTCTTCTGACCTCTGAGGCACTGCACGACAAGGGTACACTCACATACATGCAGGCAATACACTTGTACACATAAAAAAAACCAAATATAGGGGCTGGAGAAATGACTTAGTGGTTAAGAACACTGGCTACTCTCGAAGGGGAGTTTGGTTCCCAGCACCCACATGGAGGCTGACAACCATCTGTAACTCCAGTTCTGGGGGATCCGATACCCTCTTCTGGTCTCTGTGGGTACTGCATGCATGTGGTACACTTACATACATGCAGGCAAAATAGTAATACAAATAAAACGAAAATAAAAATTTTAAAGTTAAATATAGAGCCGGGTGTGGTGGTGCACACCTTTAGTCCCAGCACTTCAGAAGAGGAGGTAGGTGGATCTCTGTGAGATTGAGACCAGCCTGGTCTACATAGAAAGTTACAGGCCAGCTAGGGAAATCTGTCTCAAAAACAAAACAAAATAAAACAAAAAAACCTAAAAAAAGGCAATGATAGTCTACAGTGTTCGAGCCATTACCAATTCCAAATCTTTCCCAATCAGAGAGGTTGTCCAGTGTGTAGGAGCAGCCTTGCCTGTTTCAGTTGTGGGGCTCAACCCCAAGGCACTGTGCATACCAGACAAGGACTCCAACACTGATGCAGATCCCCAACACCGCAGAAGTCTTTATTAATTCATGTCCTTTGTAGAATAAGCAATCATAAAGATGAGAGCGGGGCTTGTGAAAAGGACTGCTCTTTCCATCTGTTGTAAGATCAGAAATACAAGGTGGGGCACCAAGTGTGATATACCAAGTATGACGTACCTGCGAGGAGCTCACGATCCTCCGCTTATCTTTGCACCAGTCCATGCACAGGACTTTGTTCCCGTGGCCTTTAAGTGTCCTTCTGGTCTTCATGACAAACTGGCCCAGGGCCTCAACGCGCTCGGCCACCTGGTGCACTGTAAAGATAGAGTCATAGTTAGTTCTGTTATGTAGGGCCAGGCTCTGAGACTGGGCTGGTTCAGGAAAGCCCTTGGCTCCACAGAGGGAGGTGGCCAGGGCTTTCTCTCTGTGACAGCATGCATTTCCTATTCTTAGGCCTTGTGATGCTTTTTTCTAAGATCAGAAAGTAGAGAAAACAGAGTTCTCGTTTTAAAAATCTTACAGTTTTCAATCTACATGTGTCATAGTATTAACAAGACTGCTTCCTATTTCTAAAGCACTACATAGTCTATAGCCACAGCACCCCAAATGAGCCCAATCCCACCTACAGCACCATGTAGACTCGGAGAGGTGGGCAGGGCAGGCAGCAGGGTGAGGCTGTTGTCTCCTTGTAACAGGCAGGGAGACTGAAGCTTACAGAGATTCTTTGGATAACACAAGTTCATACAACTCCTGGGAAGCTGGGTTCTGAAGTTTGTCTTTCATTTCTCTCTCTCTCTCTCTCTCTCTCTCTCTCTCTCTCTCTCTCTCTCTCTGTGCGCGTGCGTGCGCACACAAGGAGCATGTAGTGGCTAGAAGACAACCTTGGGTGTTAACCTTTAGGACTGTTGTCCACCTTCTTTGAACAAGGTTTCAAACTTGGCCTGGAACTCACCAAGTATGCTAGGCTGGATGACCAGCAAGCTCCATGGATCCTCCTATCTCCACCTCCCTAGCACTGGAGTTGAAGTTTGTCTTTCATTTCTCTCTCTCTCTCTCTCTCTCTCTCTCTCTCTCTGTGCGCGTGCGTGCGCACACAAGGAGCATGTAGTGGCTAGAAGACAACCTTGGGTGTTAACCTTTAGGACTGTTGTCCACCTTCTTTGAACAAGGTTTCAAACTTGGCCTGGAACTCACCAAGTATGCTAGGCTGGATGACCAGCAAGCTCCATGGATCCTCCTATCTCCACCTCCCTAGCACTGGAGTAAAAAGCACATGCCTTGCATTTTGACATGGGTGCTGGAATTGAATCAGGTCCTCATGCTTTAATGGTGAGCACTTTACTGACTGAGCCACTCCCGGCCCTAACACTTTCTACTCAAGGAAAGTTGGCTTTATAAGAACCATCCCATTGGGGCATACTGTGCACCCTGCTGTCTGACAGCAGACACTGTCTAACTGTCCCTGTGCCTAGCACAAGCCTGGGACATAGCAGGAGTTACAGGAATCACCAAGCAAGCTGTGACCAAATGATGCACCTGTGAGATTGCTAAAGAACTTTAAGTCCATAGAAATCAACACAGTCTTAGAGGTCTGGACAGAATCTACTAGGGCATCATTCTACCAAGATGGAGCTCCAAACAGCATTCTTTCAGGGGCTGGGACCTGCACCCTTTTCTGAGGCCTGCACCCTTTTCTGAGGTCTAGAGATTGTTTATGGACTTAGAGAGGCATGGCAGATGCTAGGCCAGTGACCAGAAGGAAATAGAGAGTTCTTAATGAAGCTGGTGGGAAACAGAGGTCCACAAGGCTCAGGGACTCCATAGTTGGTAGCTGAGGGGGTACCACTCTGTCTCTGGTAATGGTTATCCTGTCCTGGGCTCCTGCTCCCAGGCCTTTTTTGCAGACAAGGAGAGGAGAGGACTTAGCCAGGCCAAGAGAACACTGTGGATGGAGCCCTATGACTACAGTGCCCCTCAGAGACATCTTCCCTGCATCCTTTCCTCTGCCCTTCCCTCTTGCTAAGCATTTCCAAGTCTAAAGAGCTCTCTTAGAGGACCACAGTATGGTATCAGGAAATGAATACTGTCTAATCTACAGGCCTCATGGAGCTGTACCATCCCAACACTTTTACAGCAAAGGACAATTCAAGGTCACGTGCTCCATCCTTGTGGCTCTTCAGTCCCCGGTTCTCATTTTGGAATTCAACATCTGGCAGCCCACTCACAGTAAGGCTCTGCTGAGGCAAGCCCATCAGGAACCCTACAGGCAGACACTGATGGTAACTGATCAGTTGATGAATGCGGCACCTGCCAGTTTCCCTACCAGTTACCATTTACTTTCTGAAATGAAAAAGTCCCTTATAGAAATGGACTCTGAGACTATAAATATGGTGCTGCTCCTCCAACTATGGTGTTTGCCTTTTCTTTTTTTTAATTTTATTTATTATTTTTATTTTATGTGTATGCCTCCTGTGTTGCCTGCATGTAGGTAAGTGCATCCACGTCGTACAATGCCTGCATTGGTCAGAAAAGGCTGTCAGACCCCCTGGAACTGGAATTACGGACAGCTTTTAGCTTCCATGTGGATGCTGGGATTCGAACCCAGGTCTTCTGCAAGAACAACCAGTGTTTTTAACCGCTGAGCTATCTCTCCAGCCCCAGGTGTTTAGCTTTTCAGGACAGTGTTTTACATTTCCCAGGCAGGGCTTGAACTTACTAAGTAGCTGAAGATGACTTTGAACTTCTGATCCTCCAGCTTCCACTTTCCCAGTGCTGGGATTACAGATATGCTCCACCATGCCCAGTTTATGTGGTACCTTGTACATGCTATACAAGCACTCTACTGCAGAATTTCACCCCAGCCTTCTGCTCATCCAACTCCAAAGCCCTCACAGCACCACCCACTAAACAGCCCCGTAGAGCCAGTTACTGAGCTGTTGGTTGGCAGGCAAGTGGTGATTTTCCTGGGCCCACCACTCCTTCCACATTCAACAGCTGCCTTTCTAAATGAAAGAGGGGCTTTACCCTCCCCTAGCCCCATCTAATGATTCATTTATTGACATGGATGGGAACTTCTGGATTCTTCCTGTATTCATCAGGTTATAATCTATTACTATTACTTCTTTTCTCCCCATGCTGGGGATTGAGCCTAGGGTCTTGTGTGTGCCAGGCAGGCTCTACCATCAAGTCACATCCCGACCTTGCAAATGCCAGGCAAGCACTCTACTATAAGAATGACTTTTGTAACCAAAGATGTTCTGAAATCGTTTAACACTGTCTCATCTTGTTTAACCCAAAACATATAGCTTTAGTCTCTCATGACCCTTCCTTGCCCTTGACCCAGAACAGTGTATGTGCATCTGTATGCTTTGCATATCAAGCAAGCACTTTGAACAGCAGATATTTGTTGGAAGCAAGCAAGATTATCCCATTTGTGTTGCAAACAACAGGGATTAAACTGATAACATCTGTTGTGTTTATGTGTGTGCTGTTTGAAGACAGTAGGGTTAGAAAGAAGGTAAAATCCTTCTGATAAGGGTCCATTTTCCTTCCCCATTTCATGCTGGATGCACAGTTTCAATAAAAGAGAGAGTGAAGCTTTGGTTTGAGAGCACAGTTCTGAGAATTCTGAAGAAACCGGTCTCAGAGCAGTTCAGGTCCTCTCTTGACTAAAATGGATGCTAAGAGTCAGGCTATTTTTTTTTTTTTTTTTTTTTTTTTTGTTGGAGACATGGCCTCCCTTGTAGCACCAGCTGTCCTGGAACTCACTATGTAGACCAGGCTGGCCTTGAACTCACAGAGATCCACCTGCCTCTGCCTCCCGAGTGCTGGGATTAAAGGTGTGTGCCATCAGGCCCGGCAAGGCAGGTTATTTTTATTCGGGCATAGCTGTAATCTAGCATCACATAATGCCATACTCTACCACTGAGCCATATCCTCTACCTTGCATGTGCCAAGCAAACATTTTGCCACTGAGCTGTATCTCTTACCTTCTGTGTGCCAAACAAGCACTCCACCAGAGTCACATCCCCAGCTTCTACATTTCACTCTGATGCCCTGACTATCCCGATGGCCATGGGGAAGCCCAATCATGCAAGTTCTCATGGCTTCCCACCATGTTTGATTATCTTTGGGAATTCCTAGTCCAGGCTTCTTGCCTGTGCCCACCATGGAATCAGTTTTTTTTTTTTCTCCAAGGAATCCCGATCCCCGTTAGTGTCCACCCCCTGGGAAGAATAAACAAAGGTGTACAAAAAAAGTCCACATGAAAACCCCATTTACACCAGGGGTGTGGCTCATGCCTATAATCCCAGCACTTGGGAGGCCAAGGCAGATTGATTTCTGAATTTGAAATCAGCCTGTTCTACATTGCAAGTAGGCCAGCCAAAGCTACATAGTGAGACCCTGTCTCAGAACAAAACAAACAAAACAAAAATACTCAAAAGAAAACCCCAATTTCAAAAGTTCCTATCAACTATGAAATGCTGTGTCAGTGTTCAGAGATCATACCATTGCATCCATAAAAGCACATTAGTCTCTTACAGATACACTCCTCATAAGACACACTGGAAAAAGTTGAAAAAAAAACAGACCTAATTTTCTGAATTCTTATAGGCCTTTTACACAAGCCACCATCAGGGCTGGGGGCACATCCTTCTTAGTAATCACTCTACAACTTCATACCCACACTGTTGTTGTCTCTCTTGCTTCTACACTAGAGGAAGCCCAGCCTTTCAATGTCCTTGTTAAAAAAGAAGCTGCTTGGGGGCTGGAGAGATGGCTCCACAGTTAAGAGCATTGGCTGCTCCTACAGAGGACCCAGGTTTGGCTCTCAGCACCCACATGGCGGTTAACAACTGTCTATAACTTCAGTTCTAGGAGATCCAATGCCCTCTTCTGACCTCTGTGGGCACTGCATGCACATGATGAACTTCCATGCATGTAGGCAAAACATTCATACACAAAATAAAAATGAATAAAGAACCAAAAATCTTAAAAGCCCCATGTGAGCCTTAGTTTCAATAGTCAAGTTGGCACAGTACAGAATGCAGGTGTCTAGATCAGGGTGGCCTGTGAGCATGTCTGTAGGGGACTGTTTTGATTATGTTACTAATGTGGGAAGACCTAGTCTAAAAGTGTGTGGCAGCATACCCTGGGTTGGGGTCATAGACTGTATGAGTGGAGACACTGAGCTGAGCACTGGTAAGCATGCATGCATTCACTCTCTTCTCTTGACTGGATGTGACCAGCTGCTTCAAGCTCCTGCCTTGACTTCCCTGTGGTGATGGACGGTAACCTGGGATCGTAAGCCAAA